TACTACTACTACTACTACTACTACTACTATTATTATTATTGCTACTAATATTATTATTATTGTTGTTTATAATTTGTATAATTAACCTTCTTATGGTTCGACCCCGGTCTTGCCGGGTTATTTATTACTTTGACACTTCTGCATTTCAGAAAAGACATCACTTTTTTTTATCGCATCAGTAATCTGCACAGTTATTGCGGTGTTCTGCTACACATATATAAATATAAGAGGAAGGTTGGTTAAGGTACAACCTAAGCCATTCTATTGTACTCAACAGAGGTTGGTTGGTTAAGGCACAACCTAAGCCATTCTATTGTACTCAACTATATTGCTTTCAGATTTTTTTGGAAACCTTGATTTCTCAATCTTGGTTGCGAAAATTCTTGTCCATCTGCACTTGACATGATGGAACAGAAGATATCTGAACAGAAACATAATCGCAGCGTGTGGAAAACAAAGCTTTTTATTTATTTAATAACAATTAGTATTTTATTATACAACGCCTTGAATCATACAATGGCATTGAATGATAGGATAATGCTTGCTCCGCTGCACTCACACGTGTTAGGTGCTTATTCGACTAGCTATCCCGGAGCACTGGGCTTCAGAGCTGAAGCTCAACAAACGGTGAAGAGAGCTTTGCCTGACAGAAATGGAATTCATATAAATAATTCAAGGAATCTAAATAGCATGCAGTTATGAATGTCGTCCACCATAGCGTCTCTGCCTTTGCTGATAGGAAGTTAAGGCCTCTATAAACTCAGCTTTTCCAAAGTCAGGCCAGAGCGCTTCTGCAAAGAAAAGCTCAGTGTAGGCCAGTTGCCACAGTAAGAAATTGCTGATCCGAAGTTCTCCGCTGGTTCTTATCAGTAAATCAGGGCATGGATACTGGGCACAATTTGTTTCCAACTCCTGTTCAAGTAGGCTTTCATCGATGTCTTCCAACTGAACAATACCATTCTTCACCTTGTGAGCAATGCTTTTGCATGCTTGTGTAACATCATATTTCCCACTATAGCTGACTGCCACGATGAGGTGGAGTCTGCAGTTGTCTCTCGTCTTCTCCTCTACATCACTTATCAGTTTTTTTAGAGACTCTGGGAGCCTGGAGGAGTCTCCAATTGTAGAGACTCGAATACCCTTCCTGTGAGTAGCAAAAGAAGCATCAAGACCAAAAAAAGTGACGATAATAGATCAAACTGATAGACACCTTTCTCAATGTTAATGTTATTTTCAAATGGCTTTGTATGGCATTTCTACGGCACTGATGCCATAAACATAAAATAATATTTCACTGGTTATTATTCATTTGATCACTCAACATTCGATTCAAATTCACATTCATTATATCGCCTACACACAAATCAAGCCAAACTTCTGTCAATCAGAGAGGATCTACGATTAGGTTGACACTAAAACATGCTGTTGATCATATAAAGGAACCTTTTTTTGGAGCAAAACTTTCATCCAGAACTATCTTTGGATAGAAAGTCCAGATTTATAAAAGGGATATGTTCCAAATGAATTAGACTTGATGAAAGTCTCACACGCAAAAGCAAATTCGTCTGCCACGAATTACTTTTGGAAACCAAGTTACTAGATGGGTATTTGGACATAAAAAAGAAAAAAGAGCTTGTCAACCTGAAACATCATAGTACGCTGCTAACTCAACTCTAATTATATAACCTTTTCTCTTAAAGCAACGAGTGCAGCTTGAAAAAAAAAAGAAGCCAAGCAAATTGGATTGGGATCGATAAGATTTCTCATCAATAGCATCATCTTCTTTCGGTACAGTAATAATAACCCACAGGCTCAACATTTGATTATTTTCCTGTCATTTCCTGATGTGTTAAAATCGAAGAGCCTTATTGCCACTGCATGCCAAAATCATTCGAGTTTTACAAATTCCCCTTGTTTATGTAAACTAGACAGAAATATGAAGACACTGGATAGATGGTAAGAGAATGGACTAGCAGATAGAGAGCTACCTCATAAAGTTATCCACCTCGGACTTCAACATCCTTTCAAATAAACTCATCAAGAAAACAACCTCCACCTGCACTACAACAAGTTAATCCACTCTGCACTTCCTGTCCTACAAACTCCAATCACAATCAAAGTGTGTGTGTGTGTGTCTATATATATATATAATAAAATTTAAGGCCTTTTATTTCAAGAATTTGTGAACTGATCACTACTAAAATACCTGCCAAATTAAAGAAAGGAAAAGAGAGAGAAGACTGCTGACCTTAGGCCTAGTCCAATTATCATAAGAGAAGGCAAAAACAGTGAGAACTCTAATCCCCCACTCACAACACGACTTTAAAAGCTCCCTAAGTGACCGTACACCAGCTTCATGCCCGGCAGATGCTGCTGAAAAACCCCGCTTCCTGGCCCACCTCGCATTGCCATCCATTATCACTGCCACGTGCCGGGGCATAACCTCCCTCCGTAGACCCTCCGGCAATGGCACCACCGCCCCTCCTTTATTTTCTTCGTCTTCGAGTGTCAAGTCATGCTCGGCCGCGAGAACTAAAGTAGGGAACCGGGGCGTTTGGTCTCTTCTGTTTCGGAAGAGAAAGTGGTTAGCTTTTTGAGGCATTGTAATGTTGTTGTTGTAAATTGGTGTTGGAAAATTCAAGGATTGCATTATCCGTTTTAAAAGTTGAGCTATTAGCAGTCTTTAAGCAGCGCTTCGCTTATGTTGCTCAATAAACCACTTGCCTGCTTGCTACGAGTACTGGTTTTTATGACCGTTGGTTGCTTCTAACTTTATAAGTAGAGGCAAGACAGCATCAACATCCTGTAAAACGAAACCCAAACACTTGCCAGACGCTATATCTAGATTGGTTTGCCAACGTGAAAATGAATGGATTAATTTCTCCCTTTTTGTCTTTTCTTCAAATTATTTGAATACATTTAAACGTGTTCTTTTAAATTCGTTTTCGGTTCAACATCTTGTGATTATTATGGGATGTGTTATAAAATAGAAAATATTATGTTTCCTCTTATATAGTTTTATCATGTATAATAGGTTGCACTGTAACATATATACAATGCCTTATATAAACAGGAGAGGAGCTGCCTTACTAAGGTACTCCTCAAATTATTGTAAATATATATACAATGCCTTACTTATATAAATAGTAGAGGAGCTACTTTACTAAGGTACTCCTCAAATTATTGTAAATCTCTATTTTAACTTGGTATCAGAGTCTCTTTACTTTAAATAGGTTCTTCTACTTTTTGCTGCATGTTTTTTTTTCCTACCACCATCCTTGCTCTTGTGTTTTCTGTTGCAAAATCTATTTTGCTGCATCTTTTGCTCTTCCTTTTCTTTGCTGTAGAATTGCTCTCTTTGCTGTCAAATTTTATTTGCTGCATTATTGTGCCTTCTCCTCTCTGTCAAAGGCAGTATCCATCAAGGTTGCATTGTTGTGTCTTCTCCTCTTTTGTCATCGTCATCGATCATATAGTTGGTATTGCTGCTGGCATCAATGTCAGCTCATCTTCTCCAAATTCTTCCCCTTGGTCCGTGGACTCACCACAGCAACCAACACGACCATGGCTCCATCTACTGCAACAGCAGTTCTTATTGCTCTCTCTAACACCCAACAAGTTATTAATCTCCAACTTACCACTAAATTTTATTTGTTTTGGTGTATGTAGATGAAGCCATATCTGATTGGTCAAGGAGTTTTCTTGTTTGTTGACGGCTCCACTCCATGCCCCTTTTCACACGATTTATCCATTATAGCTTTTGCTATCTCTGCTACCTTCAATTTTGGACCCTACCAAGCGTTCTTGACTTGGAAACAGCAAGACCAGTTCATCCTTAGTGCTCTGCTATCCTCTTTTTCTGTTGAAGTTCTTCATCTCGTGGTTGATTGTCCAACCTCTGCCAGTGTTTGGAGCACCCTTGAACTTGCTCTTGCCTCCTCATCCAACTCTTGGATCATGCAATTGCATGGCTCTTTTCAGGATCTTCAACAAGGTGATGATATTGTCACTCTCTACTTGCAACACGCAAAAGGTTTATTTAATGAATTGGCTGCAATTGATAGACATATTTCTCTCACTGCTTTCAACTTATATGTGTTTCAAGGACTTTGCAGTGAATTTCATGATTTGGTCACAAGTCTGTTATTCAATGTTGATCCTCTATCACACTCTGAGTTTCACAATCACCTATCTGCTCATGAATTCATACATCGCAGCTCAGTACCTCTAGTCTAACTAATGCACCCCTGCTACCAACCTTTGCGCAACCCCCCTTCATATATGCTGCCCAACGTGGTTTTTCAAGGTCAAACAATAGTGGTTTCATGGCTAATTGGGGCAGAGGATGAAGGAGTGGCTAGCGATCACTTCTGTTGATATTTTGCATCGTCCCCTCGGTCACCCCAGTTCCCGTATTCAAAGTCTCTTAACTTCGAATAAAAAGGTTGTTTGTACCTCTCGTCATCTTAATTTTCAATGTCAAGCTTGTCTGTTAGGAAAATTCTCTTGTTTGTCATTAAGACCAGCGAGCTATAAAACATCTACTCTTCTTGAACTTATCTTTAGTGATGTTTGGGGCACTGCCTCTATGCTATCATCTGATGGTTTTTGTTATTTTGTCTTATTTGTAGATGTGCATACAATTTTTTTTTGGTTTTAACCTACTGCTGTCAAATCAAATGTATTCTAAGTGTTTCAATAGTTTCAAGTACTTGTTGAACGTCAGTTCTCTCAAAAAATCAAAACTGTACAAACTGACTGGGATGGTGAATATCATAAATTAAATTCCTTTTTTAAAACCATCGGTATTCACCATTGTCTTATATGTCCACATACTTATGAACATAATGGTATGGTTTAGTGTCGTCATTGCTATATTGCTAAAACCGGTCTTAATCTTTTAGGCCATTGTAAGACACCTCTAAAATTCTAGAATTATGCATTTAAAACCTTGATTTATCTTATTAATCATATGTCAACCTCAATTTTAAGCAACAAATCTCCCTTCAAATATCAGACACCTAATTATGCTTTTTTACATACTTTTGGATCTCTATGCTTTCCATTCCTTTGTCCTTACAATGCTCACAAGCTAGACTATCGCTTCACTCCACATATGTTCTTAGGCTATAGTTCGTCTCATCTAAGTTATTGTTGTCTTAATTTATTGTCTGACCACATCAATACTTTTCATCACATCAGATTTCATGAACAAGTTTTCCCCTTCATTAAGTCTGTCCTCCCATCCCATCCTCCTCTCCGCCTATCACTATCTCTAGCCTACCTCCCCTCATCATTTTTCCATCTTAACTAGTCTCAACCCCACCTTCCCTTCCCACCAACCTGTCGGTCCCCTCACCATCATCTCCATCTATGTATCTTGATCATTTTGTAGGTTCAGGTTTTGTCGTGCCAACTTTATCTTTACTAGATTTGCCCTCTATTGCAGCCTCTCCAACCTCATTATCGACATTGTTTTCTACATCGGGCACTTTGCTCAATCTTTGTCCGATCTAGACTTATATGTGGATCTCTCCACATACTCTCTTCCATAATTGACCTCCACTGATTCGCCTTCTACTCCACCACATATTCGGCAGCATCCCCTAGTGCTGCATCCTTGACAACCAAAGACTACCAACATCAGCTTTGTTTCTACTTCCTCTCCACCAGTTTTAGCTTCATGGGTAATGTCCCTATCTACTATTGAGCCTCTTAGTTTTAAGGAAACTAACTAGTTCTTATGTTGGTATATTGCCATAAAGGATGAAATTGTAGCCTTACATGCTAATGCCATTTGGTTATTAGTGCCGTTTGATCCATCTATGAACATTGTTGGTTGTCAATGGGTGTATAAAATCAAGCGTCGAGCCGATAGGGCCATTGACCGGTATAATGCTTGCTTGCTTGCGTGAGGGTTCACCTAATAGGAAGGCATATATTATTCAAAAACCTTCAGTCCTTTTGTTAAACCAACTACTGTTCGGTTAGTTCTCACAATTACAGTCTCAAAAGGATGGCAGATTTGACAACTTGATGTTCACAATGCCTTCCTCAATGGCTCACTTCATAAGGTTGTTTACATGTAACAACCCCTAGGCTTTGTCAACATTACTTTGCCCTCTCATGTTTATCGCTTTCACAAATCTCTCTGTGGTTTAAAACAAGCACCGCGAGCCTGGTATATGCGACTATGTGATTTTCTCCTAACTATTGGTTTTTGAACTTCAAAGGTTGATACCTCCCTATTTATTCTGAATGGGACTCATGATATTTGTTACTTGTCTATGTGGATGACATCTTTATTACTAGTAACTAACTCTGAATTGATTCATCACCTTATTACCTTGCTGAGTTTGGAGTTTAAACTTCAAGACTTGGGTCATACACATTATTTTTTGGGGATTAAAGTTGCTCCCACCAGTATATGTCTTGTGCTTAGTTAACACAAGTATGTTCTTGATATTTTAAATCGTGCTGGTATGTCATCTTATAAACCTGTTGATACACCAACGTCTATTTTCAAACTTGATATGGAGTCTATTGAGTTGTTTTCAGATGTCACTCACTTCTATCAAATTATTGGTGCTCTTCAGTATCTCACCTTTACTTCACCCGAAATCTGTTATGCCGTGAACAAGGTATGTCAATTTATGCATGCTCCTACTGAAGGCCATTAGGCCGCTGTTAAGCGTATCCTACAATACCTAAAAGGTACATCCTTTTTTGGTCTCCACCTTACTCGAGACTCTACTTTGTCTCTTCATGGTTTTACTGATGCCGATTGGGCCAACAATATTGATGATAAAAAATCCATGAGTGGCTACATTGTATTTCTTAGCACCACTCCTATTTCATGGAAATCTTGCAAGTAACGCACTGTTGTTTGATCCTTTACTAAAGCAGAGTATAAGGCCTTAGCTAATGATATTATTGATGTTCTTTAGCTTTACTATCTTTTATCAAATTTATGTTTCTCCCCTAGTTTTGCTACCACAATCTAGTGTGATAATTTGAATGCTACTTATCTATCTGTTAATCTGATTTTTCATGCTCATATGAAGCATGTTGAGGTTGATTATCACTTTGTTCATGATCGAGTGACTAAGAAGGAGATTCATATTTGCTTCATTTTCTCAACAGATCAATTAGCTGATGTTCTTATAAAGCCATTTGCTTGTTTTACTTTTACTTCTCTATGCTCCAAGCTTCACGTGTGACACGACGAAAAGATTGATGTCTTTTCCCAAGTGCAGGAGTGTCGAAGTAATAAATAACCCGACAAGACCGGGGTCGAACCACAGGGAGGTTAATTGTACAAATTATAAATAACAATAATACAACAATAATAACAATAACAACAAGAACAATAATAATAGTAATAACAACAACAACAATAATAATAATAATAATAATAATAATAGTAGTAGTAGTACTAATAATAATAATAATAATAATAATAATAATAATAATAATAATAATATAGTAGTAGTGAAGAAGAAGAAGAAGAAGAAGAAGAAGAAGAAGATGAGAACTTGGAGATGGAATATTAATGTAAGGATTAAACGATGATAATAACAAATGTCAAGGTTAGAGGTTTCACTAATGATATGTCAAACAAGTATAGTATAAACTCTTATTATTCAATTGGAAACCAGGTTAGAGGTTCCACTAATGGTATATCAAACAAGTATAGTATAAACTCTTATTATTGAATTGGAAACCACACACAAAGGAGGTTCCA